ATAAATAACTTTCATTACATTTTCTAGAATTTTTTTAGTCCAAAGGGGCTTTGTCCCTGAAGGAGTATTGTTTTCGCTTTGCGATTTTGCGTTGATCACTATAAATGTCCGTTCCACTTCTCAAACTATTGCCACCCAAGGTTGGAATCCTGCATTATAATTGAAGAAATTAAATAATGAAAAACTTGCATAAATGTATGTATATTTTTCGAATTGTGATGAAACAGCGGTACCTAGAGCCATCGAATTTTGAATGACGTAATCCCCCTACGAATATGGGCATGTGGAAGACCAAATTTGAAATTTGGAATTTGTTTTATTATCGATTTCATATTTTGTAAACCTTTAACGAATTTTTGAGTAACAAATTCAACGATTTGAAAGCGAGCAATGGCAACAATGTACGGGGGGGGCATTTTTATATGCGGCGCGCGGACCTGTGTATCGGAAATTCTAAAGATAGGCTCATTTTAAAATTATTTTGCGACATTGCTATTGAACTGACATTTATGGTTTAAGTGGGAAGACCATGATATTTAATAAATAAAGCTAACACGCAAAACGTTAAAAAACGCTCTCTTTGACGTCATTTAAAATCTGAAACCTTTTAGATTTTTTTTTAATATTCTTAGTGCTAGTAGATTGTCCTGGATTCATCACCTGTGAATTGTCACTTTTCCGCTTACCCACTCCTAGCCATGTTAAAATTTTGAAAATCTAGTTTTGTTTTATTATTCTTTCCACGAGGTTTTCAAAAACAGATGACAATATTTTCAAATCGCGTAGTAAATACAAAGCGACAAGAAGACAAAATACCTGCTGTTAGAGACAGCCAATCGACGGAAAAAATTATTCTCATTGAAAATGGAGCAATATGAGACCGGAAATGGCGACATAAAGTGCTGACCTGCTAGTAAATCGATCAACTCTAAGAGAATTAATGAGATACCATTATCTTTTTTATAGGAACTTATTTTTATTGTCTATTAAATACAGCATCCATTTCTATTACCCCTTTTAAAACATCACACATAACAAAATATTTGTGAAATATGTTTCAATATTTGTGAAATGTGCAACATGGAAGAACCACGAAAACTGCCATGCAGACATATAGTGTATATGATACTGTGAATTCTTTCTGATATTTTATGACCGTCACGCATCTTTTTCCGTAGGTAGGGATTGGTGGTTTTGGTACTTTTCCGTTTTGCCGGCGCAAGCGATAAAGTCGCCGAAAATGGTACAACCGATGCCAAATGGAATATCCTTGCTGATAACTTTTTCGCCTCATTTTCAAAACAAGTCGCAGCCATTTTCTTATCCGACTGTTTATTTCTTTCAATACTGGAATACAATAACGTAGAAATTTCACCAGATAGTTCAATTTTATGCATTACGGCCATTCGCGGTAGTTAAGTCTATAGGATGCAATCACACCAGTCATCCGAAGGACATCCGAAAATACAGAAAAGGCAAAGTAAATTGTTAAATTCATCAATTCTAATGCGAATGCACTAGCGGAGTAAAACACTGCAGTTTTACATAATTTTTAAATAAGCTATTAGTACGAATAAAAATGATTCTTGCATTTAAACTTCTATTCCATATTAAGATTTAATTTTAAATTAATGTAGAATGAACTAATAATTGGATAACTTGAAATTTAATAACTTGAAATTAATGAGAGAATTAGATTTTTGTAGCTTAGTTTGGAGATTTTTGTAGTCACGTAGCTCACTTGGAATCACGTGATATGAACCGGCGAATCAGGATGCGGTGCCATGAAAGCATAGTAAATTCTTAAATTAATTTCGTTTTACAAATTTATAGTCTTTATTTATTGCCTTTTTACAAAATTTTAAACAACATTAAAATGTTTATGGTTTCAAAATAATAAAAATCCTTAGAACTAACATTTGTTAACATGTTTTATGTGTATAACATGTTTTATGTGTTGTCGCCAATAAAGTCTGCTTGGCGGGATTTGCGCTGGCGAAACGGAAAAGTACCGTTCTTTTATTAGTTACACTCTCCCCTTGTCCATCTCATTCATTTATGTCAGCTTCATGCATAATGTCTTACCCCTTCTCTTTCAATCTGCAAGTTTTCAACAATACACATGAAAATTCTCTGGACAGTGTACCTTATTAGCATATATGTTGAAGTTGTTCAGATAATTGAGCAATTTTTAAGGAACGGTAAAATTACTTCTATTTTTAAAAGAAAGTTTTCATAAACTAAGATTAAAACTCTTTTTTTTTTAAGTTTTCCTAATATTCAAAACTAATCATCCTACTCAATGAAATGACATAAGATACCTGGATTTGCCGACGGGGTGCCCTAATCCCCAGTCGCGCTTCAAACGGGGGAGTACTAGAGGTGTTTTCTCTCTCCTTTTCGTATCCATTCGTGGTGTAATAGGAAGCATACTCGAAGCATATTCGAGAGGTTCAGGGTTCGAGTCCCAAAGAGAATATTTTTCACATCTCCAAACAGGATATTTTGCATATATCTCCTGCTTCAAAAACCCCTAATGACTCTACAATCTAAATAAACTATTCTTTCTTGATAGCTAAATCTAGGACACAGTTTAATTACTTTTTTATATAATTACCATGCCTATTCTGCGCAATTCATTGAACGTTCCTACATACGTTTAATTGCATTAAAATCGAACTGATCGGTATTAAATAATGGTTTTACGGGCCCCCAATTAGTTGTCATAAACATTCTCAGGTTTCGTCAAGTTTTTAATAAAGTTATTTTACGTTAATTTTCTTTTTTGTCCTGCCAGAATGTAAATTTTTAGCTTGTATTCAAATCAGATATGAAGGAGATAGCGTTTAATGTAAAGGTTTAGAGGATATAAAGCGTGTTTTGTCCGCTGAACGCCACTTTATATATTTAACGTTCTGTGTCTGTCGTCAAAGCCTTTCAATTTCTGGAAGCATGGGCTGGCGACCCAATGATCTCGTTTTACGTCTTATATCGTTCCAGATATAACGATTCAGAGGATGTAAAATGCAATTTAAAAATTAAGGAGGCGTGAATAATTCAGTCCGCAAATTGTTTCAATCCGCCAAAATGCTCTAGATCTCTACTAGAGATACCCGCCGTTAGCAAAATCCTCACATAACGCGGACAGTACCTACATTAATTGTCCTATGTTTTCGATATTATATATATATATATATATATATATATATATATATAATAATAGATAATATGTGGGAGTTAAAAAAATGCAGTAAGTATTATGCAACCTCAACAACTCATTCATGAAGTCAGCAGCGCGACCTTCTGCCGTTTACCACAAAGTCATAACTGCCAGCCTTTCAAATAACGGAAGACTGTCACTGCCATTATAACATTTTGAGAATTGAATTAGTATGATATTATCAATGTAACTAGTAGTGAAATTGGCAGTGTAGAATTAAATTATTTATAATCAAGGAGAAGCTACAGCTACATGAAGAACTTTCTTTTTATAGAAACACAGACTGCTTGCACATGGAATGGGTAGCAGTTTTCCAAATAAAGTACTGCTTACAAAACGCTAAATATAAAACATGAACTATAGAAGTAGCTGGTCTGGGAATGATGCCAATTAAAGATTTCAAATCTTCAAATGCAAATGGCTGTGATTAAAGAATCTCATATTTAATTATGCGTTATTATTTTCGTTGTTGTACTTGTAAATACTGTTTAACATTTTCCGGCACGCTACCTGTTAAGGTTGGATCTTTTGATAAAAAAAGGTACGCAGTGTAATTAGGCCTAGAGGAGTACACAAGTAAAATTTTGTGAAGATAGCACTTATCGTTTTAATTCTGTGGGTGTGCCCAAAGTGGCACACTGATTGAATAGAGCTTCGAAAAGAGTGCTGAAATCGGTGAGCGCGGTCTGGGCACACCTAGGGTTCGCTGTTTGATTTTAGGCCAACTTTCAAAGTAAAAATTTAAAACTAATATAGAATAAGGAGATTAGCATATAGCCAAAAAATAACACAGCAATTTCTTTTCAAACAATTCCTTTTATACCCTAAAAAAATCTGGAAGACTTCTTTGAAAAATGAGGGTCTTAAAAAACTAAACATGGCTAAAATATATGGATTGGTTTGTTTTGAGCTGTCATCTACTATAAATAAAGAAGGTTCATAGTAACCTATAAATCATTTTTCATTTAATTTTTCTGTGCGTACAGAAGGAAATTTTTAAGGATGTCCAGACTAGACACACTGTGCCGCAAAGGATTAAAAATTATTGTTTTCCCAAACAGTAAACTCTGTTTAATTTTTTAACAAAAACAATCAAAATTTATGCAAAATAAACCGTCCTTTTATCGTCAATTTAAATGACGTGAACCGGTGTCCAAATTGAACAGAATTTTGTGACTCTTAAAGATATCTGAAACTGAAATCGCATCATATGTGTAGATAACAATATTGCAATGAGATATATTCAAATTGCCTCACATATCCTGTGACTTACAATGTATGTACAGCTACAGACAAACCATGTAAATGATCTTAGAGATCACATAACTTATGTACAGCTAATGTAAACAAACAAGGCCGCTTTTCCTTTTTTCCTCTCGATGCACGCAGCTTATAAATTTCCCTCTTTTATTTTATTTTATTTTCTGGAAATGATTTCATACAAGAGTTTTATTTGCGTGCAACGTGAATTTAATTTTTCGTACAATTTCTAATTTTAGAAGCAATGATTTTTATTAATAACCTTTAGCACTGAAATACGTTTCAGTTTTTTCATATGTTGAGCTACGCGTTTTCCTGAAATCTATTTTAAAAATTAATTACCCTGTGGACTTTTATCACCAACAAACACACAAACAAGCTGAATATTAGTACTCTAGCCTGCGAGGTTTCGGTGCAAAATACGTATGCACATTTAAAGAAATCAACACTCTTTTACAAATGCAAATTGGCAACCGTTTTCAATTTCAGTTCACCTTGTTTATTTAACACAGTCCCTTCGCAATATTTCTGAATTAAATATAATAATAATAGGTATAAAAAACTTCAATAGTTATATAATATAATGCTTATTTCATTCTCAAATAAGAACCGCGCTGAAGGAATTTCATAATGCACTCTAATTGCTGGAAATATGGTAAAAAGACTTGCGTATATGCTTCAGAAATACAGACATTCATCTGCAAGCATCGTGGCAGAATTCTGACTCATCAAAATTTTCGGAAGATTCTTTACCTTTATGAAAATTGGTGGATATGCGTAGGGCAACTGAAATCTGTAAGATTTGAACAAGACACATTGTACTATATAGCAAGAAGAGCATTTTGGTCCGCACTTACCGATAGCGAGTACGTTTCAAAACTTATGATCTACATTTACCAAGCAGATGCTCATTTTGGATGTATCCTTTGCCCAGGAATAGGAACTTCCACACAGCTTTTCGATGATTTAGAGCAGAATGATTTGGTAGCAGAATATTTTCTTTTCCACCTTTATAAAAAACAAGTTACGTTTAGCGGAAGACGATTAGCCGATGTAGAAGTGTTTTACAGGTCATTGTGGCTACATCCTTGTGAACTATCGTTAATTATCGAATCTCCTAAACTTCTTCATTTGCTTTTAAGATATGGGGCCCTTATACGACAAGATACTGAAGACACACATATAAATTGTAGAACTTCATGCTACAGAACCACGGGAAATATTTTATTTATCATACTTTGCATCGTCAAGTCAATTCTAGAAATGAATCCCCCTGGATCATCCAGACCATGTCAAAATCACTCACCAGCGCTTTTGACAAAATACAATGACCTAGTTCTATGTGGAAGAATAATGCTTAGAGCTTCACCCCAGTTCGGACCAAAGGTCTTTTTCCGTTTAATGTCTGGGATCATAGGGCGTTCGCTATCTGAAATGGACACTGCAATAGAATGGGTTACCAAGGTAGCACTTCCAGCGATGGTCAACAGGACATTAGTTCCCATGGAACTAAAACATATCTGTAGGCTGGCCATAAGAAAGCGTCTTCATGCTCGCTGGGAGTTACCTCATGGAATCAAAACTCTGCAGCTACCTCTGGTCTTGCTTGAATATCTTGACTTATATCATGATTGAATAACGCTTTGGTACCTACATTTCTGCTTTCTTACTCATATCCAATAAACAGCTCTTGCATTAAAAATTGTTATTAAAATAATCCACTATGTTTAATTTAAAAATTTTACTTAAAGATGCTAATGACTAGTTCCTATGAAATATTACCCATTTGTAAGAGTTTATCACTCAATACGTATTAAGTTATTTATAATTTGAAACTTTACTATAACTTCTTCTTTCTGTATTCCTCGTCAGAATGCACATGAGCAGCCAATATTTGAACTGAGTATTTTAGATTTTATGGCTCAGCGTATTTCTGGTGTTGCATGAGAGCTGCGTTGTTAGTTTCCTGTTAGTTCTGATAGTTGTAATTATTCGGCTTTGCGTTTTATTGCTGCCGACGTTTTAATTCTGATGTTCCAGTAGAGTTAGTGACTGAGCTTCTGATGGTGTTGATTTGTGCAATATTTGACTACTGCTAAACGTTTGATTTAATTTAGAGTTTTATATTTTATATGACCCAACCACAAATTGCGGAAATTGAGGCAAGATATAGTGTTTTTGTGTTCTAAATTCTGTTTAAAAATAAAGGTTATTTTTAACCTTCTCACGACTTTGTCGTTGTTTCAGACATAGCGATCCGCTTAACGTCGCTGTCCTGTGTTTACGTTAACCTCTGTTTAACCTCTATTTGGGTTATTGGACTAATTAAGCCTTACCAGACCAAGTGCAACCCTCATAAGCGTTAATTAAAGTTTTATTTTGAAAAAAGAAATCTTTAATTTGTAACATATAAATTACAGATATATCCAGCGGTGAGCTGTGAAAAATGTAACTATCTGTTAATTAACTAACTATTAATTAACATGGCACTTTAAAAAACCAAATCATCAAATTCTAATTTAATGTTTTCCTTTTTGCAGGGAAAAAATACAAATAATTGCGCATGTCCAAACGAAATTAATTTAAAAGAATGTTCGCAACTTAAAAAAAATAAAGAAAAACACAAACTATCACAGAAATTAAATAAAATAACGAGTATATTTAACTATGCAGCATATGGTATGCTAGAAGTTACTATACAATATTTCCTTTTTTTTGCCACAGTACTTTATCTAAGTTCCAAAATAGGTTTCAATAAACAACCGCAAGCGGCATTTCACTTGAAGCCCACAGCTGTTTACTTGAAGATCTGAACATATTTTCGTGAAATTTTCGCATTTTCCTCTTATGATGTAATCCAAAACTTCTCAAATTTTGTACTTCTTTCTCTTTAAAACTTTTATATGCATATCCAGTTCAAATTAGAATAACATATCACATTTTAAATGGAATTAATAAACTGGAAGTGGTACTTTATTTAAAGCTCTTACCTGATTTCAAAGAAAAAAAAATAAACTATTCATTTCAAAATATTTGTTTTAAATTTAAACACCAATTTTCTTTCATTGAAACTAATTAAAATAAATGTTATTGAACTGTATAAAAATACAATATTTATTGAAAACAATAAAGGGATTGTAAGGATTATGTTAATTTTATTAACAGTTAAATTTTAAGTTAAAGTTCCTTTCCTGTCATATTCTTAACTTCAACTTACTACTTCCGGCCAGAACGTAGTTTTGGAATCTTGCTGAATATTTAATGAGAAGGAGCGGTATTTAAACCACGAAGTTACTTACGGAGGCAGAGAGAATCAGAGTTCCTGATTTACGCGCGTCTGCCTTTTTGGCCACTCTTTCTCTCAAAGCTGTTATTACGCTCGGCCGTATTCAGGCCCTTGCTAAGCCTTTGCTAGTCAAATAAGTTAAGGTGGCCAACTCAATTTGAACCTTGATAGCTTCGGCTATACTTCTTTAGTTAATCTTAGTTTTAGTTTAAATTCTTAGTCTTTTAAGTTCAAGTCCAAGTGCGGACTTTGCTTGTACACTCCCAGGCGGAGTTTTGTTAAATCTTAGTGGGATAATAAAGGGTGAGTTACCCTTCTATCTTGTTGTTTCTTGTCACCGAACTAATGTGACTATTCGCTTATCTGTTCTTAGATTCTTCACTTCCAACATTAACTTAGAATTACAAGTGAGGAACTCTACAGGGTTAAGACTTGATTATGTCGGTATAAATTTGAGAAAAACAAAGTTTTACACATGGCCAAATCTACCTAATAAAATATAATCTAAATTTCGTCTTAAATACTACTTTTATGTTTACTGAAATGATAAATTAGATTTTGTTTATAAATGATCAACGGTAAGTTATAACTAAAGCTCAGCGCTTTTTAAATCAAGGAAGTTGCGGGAAGTCATGTATTGACCACATCAGACGTTTTATTTAAATTTTCAATGCTTTCTGGACGTTTTACTTTTGAAAATGCATTACTGCATGTTTGTGAACGAAACGTGTGCAAAGAAGAACAGAGTTACTGTCCTCTAGCCTAAATTAGACGTAGAAAAAATTATAGATGTCGGTCGATGTATCTGCTCTGATGAATTCAAACTATTATTAGATATGTAATTAGATACTTATCCTCGTCTGCCTCTCACACTTAAAATTTCTTCCACCTCTTGCACTCCTCTCGACTTCGCAATCTAAGTTGTCATTATCGCTGTCAACATTTTCAAACCTTCGAAAATTTTCGCTATCTTCCTGCTTCAAAAAGGAGAAACTGTATTGCAAGTATTTGCATTACTTTTACTTCATGCACGCCGTTTATTTAAGACATAATTCCAATTTTCGACTGCACATTAGTGCCTTATTCTTTGCTGTCTTTCTACACCGTAACTTCCAAGAGAGTAAAGCCTTTTATAGTATCGGAAGCGGCGTTTTATCCCATTCCTCTTGAAGAGCTCTGCAAAGCTCCAAAGAAGGTTGTAGGTCGACGTTTGGACAATCTGCTTTTTCAAAGTACAAAAGCGTAAAAATCCATAGGTGATGGATCAGAAGATTTCGTGAAGATATAAGTCAATGTTTATGACTTTGATACCCGTTTATTCTATTCTTCGAAAAAATTAACAGTGGATTTTAACGTGTGGTTGCTTACTTTAATGCAGTTATGGCACTGTGGATGAAGAGTTGGTATTTCATGACGAAGTAATGGTATTTCGCAGTTATGGTATTTCGCAAATATGGTATTTCGCAGAAGAGATGGTATTTCGCAGTTATGGGGACGAAGAGATGGTATTTTGCAATTATGGCACTGTGGACCAAGATATGGTATTTCATATTTGAAAGTTAGATTGTAAGGATCTTAAGTTTTACTAACGTTTATTTTATTTTAAATCTTTACTATCACTTCTTATTTTCTACTTCCGGGCAGAATTAAAAGCGTTAACTTATTTATGCAAAATTTGTCTGGCGAACGCCAAGTACTTAAGTTGTGGCTTTTTGCCAAGCGAGAGAGGGAAGGAGTTAGTCGAAGCAGGCCGCTTGCCTCAGAAATTTTACTCGATTGCTGTTTGCCTTCCAAGCCAGAGGTTTTAATCCTCTTGAAAATTTTAAACGTATTGTAGTGTTAACAGTTCTCTATACTACATACGGCTTCCTGTTAATATAAGGCCAATCTTCCACGTTTATTATTCCAAATTTAAGTTAGAGTTTAGTTATATTTTTTATATTCTTACGTTCAGACCACAAGTAGTGGGTCTCTGTATTCCGAAGTACGGAAATTATTGTAAAGAGTGAAAAATAAAGGGTTTTGTATACCCTTCCTGTGTATCCTGTCTACTTTCCACATTTATTGAACATAGCTTTAGTAAGCTCCCTGTTCCGAGTCAGGGTCTTTGCATGTTCCCAAAGAAAGTAAGACGGAATAAAGAACCTGATAAGATATAAAATATGTTCCTGATCATATGTGGAGTTGATCATAGCATTTTCTCCACTTTCTTTATTTTTAATTTCCTGTTGTATGAAAAACCATCAACAGTCATAAATACCTTTCAAAAACTTTCTTTATTTTCTTTGAAGCTTGTTTCAAGACATTTCTTCTCCCCTTTGATCAGAATTAATGGATCACTCTTTATTGCAATCATTTAAGTGCATCCACCTTTCTTCTATTGTGAATACACTTTTCCATTTTTATTTGTATAAATGTCTCTCATAAAACATTCTGTAGCACTTTCTGTGTCTGGAAATATATCGTCAAGAAAGAACGATGCACATTATGCGTTTTATCCATTTTTTAAACTCAAATCAGCTTGAATCCCTTAGTTTACAGTTGCTACTGAGCACTTTAACGATTTTATAACTGTCGTTTGGTTTGATAGAACTTTGTAACGTTACAGATCTTGCTTTCGAAACATTCCTTTTTTAAGGATATGCATTTGGAACACTTTTTTCACTTGAAGTCAATCTTTTTACATTTTTTTTTCCTTTCATGTTGACAATTTAACCTGTCGTGCCAAAAGCCATGACCTTTATATCAACTAGATACGGATAATTTTCTAAGGAAAGAGCACAGATATAACCTTCCATTTATTGCTTCTTTGAAAGCGGCATATTGCATGAAAACAAAATTGTCAAGTAGCTGACGATAATTTATATTTTCAAAAATATATTTGAAGTTAAAAAATATTTCCCAGGTAGATAAATTTTTACAGCAAAGTAAAGTCGTCTAAAAATACGCAAAAAGTCTGTGCATTAATATATTATACGACGTATCTCGACGACTTTATAGCTATTGAAACTCTGCAATGTCAATCATCGGATGCAGTAGTTTCATAAAAATTAAAAAACAATGTCAGTTATTCAATATTATTGTTATTCACTATTTCAGATTAATACGGATTAATTTTTGGAAGAGTTAGATCGAAACATAAATTGAAAGATCTAAGAATCTCGTTATTATTTCGTAAATAATTGAATGAAAACTTCATTTGATTTAAAGCAGTACTATTTGAACGTTTTTTCTAATGGAGTTGTTGTTAAATATTAATAACTACGTTCTTTAACAAATAAATTTCTAAGTTAATCACAAATATCTTAGTATGCGAAAAACAAATTCATACTTTTCCTCAAATATAATAATCAAAAGGAAACAAAACTGAATTCAAGGATAACCGAAAAAAAGAAAAAATATAGCAAAACATTTGGAATTTGCACACAAAAAAAAAATAGACTTTTTTGTAGATAGTTAATGCAGAAATATTTTCTTTTAATTATACTTGTAACTATCCTTCTAGCAGAAATTTCTACGAAGGTTATTTTTAATAAAAACAATCTAAACATAAGTTTAAAACGTATGAATGACATATGCTGTGAAAAAAATCGTGTTTCAATTGATGAAATTAAAACCTCCCTTGGGCTTCCGTCTTTATATTCATGCATTATTAAGAAATCTGTGTTTAAAATGCTTATAGGAAATAGCTAGCTTTCTCTTAAATGTTTAATCTAAATTATTTCTGCTTTTAATTGTAAATGTTTTAGTTTTTCTCCTTCCCTATATTTGACACTATGTTCATCACATTTCGTTGTAACGTTGTAGTTCTGCGTGGAAAAGAGTCTGGTTCCTCAGAGAGACATTTAATATTACTGAAAAATATCAGTCATTCTCAGCAAGCAGCTACAAATATGATAATCATCTTATTTTCTGTAAACTCTACACGTATGGCTTTCAGATTTCAAAAACATGCAGTGACACTGACATGAAGTCAACAAATCGTTATTATCTTCGTAATAAATTTTTTGGCTAATCTTTGGAATATGGTAACAGGTA